TTGTACGACGTTATCAACTGTTAATTCATCAGGACGTGTGCTCTTTGTCTATAGCCTTCAGCCACCATTTTCCTCACGCGGATGCATCAAATCAAAGTGCATGCCTTTCCTGGCATGCCTGAGGAGCATATTGGTGCTGCAGCTCAGCTGGATCCCTGGCTGGCTGATTTTGGCAGCATTGATTTCGGTGAATCCATGTGGGGTTTGTTTGTTACTAGACCATGCTGCTGAAATGGTTGTAGTTGCTAGCTGTGGAAAGAAAAGGTAGACATTCTTTTATCTTCCTGGCAATTCATGTTTTTAAAGATCTCCAATGAATTATGTTACTTCCCAAGTTTTTGTGACTTCCCTTGTGAGTTTCGCCACTGTCTCAGGGGCTGAGAGCTAGACTGATTTATCTAATCAACTCAACACCACCAATCTCTTGAATTCTGAGCAGTTGCTTTCTGTGAAGAGTTCATTTTTCAGCTATCTTTATTAAAGTGTTAAAAGCCTATCTGCCTGAAGATAAGTTCATCTTTGGTAATGATTTAGCTAAAATGAAATCTAGTGTTGGTTGCAAGTATTTGATAAGGCTGGTGGGATGCTTGTTTGTAAATGCATGCAATTCTGCTTAGCCTGCTCTTACATACTGACACGCTGCCTGTGGTAACACCACTTTTTTAAAGAAGTATTCTGTCTGCAGTTATGTGGGAAGTTTAACTAATGGCCATCAGTACCATTGTCTTTGAGCTCAGGATTAGATTCTTACTAGTATTTCTGCAGTATATTTCTACTGTGGATTTCCAATGGGATTGATAGGTTGGGTGGGGGTCTTGATGATGTATTATGTAAGTAGTTGGGGAGATGTGAGTTTATAATGCTACTTTCAGGAAGTCATCGATCTATGAATGCAGTGTCATTGCCAAGAGTGGAAGCAGTTAAAGCAGTGGCAGTCACCAAAAAGTGTTGGAGTCGTAGTAGAAGAATCCAACAGATATTGTTAGTTGATACAAAAAAAAGATGGCTTGATAGGTTTTTTTGCTCCAGAGAAGGTGCCAAGAGCAGGTTTCATATCCCACCCTGAAATGATTACATTCCATAAGCTTCCCTGAAGTTTAGGGCAGTTTCTGAGGCCAGAGAAAATAATTGTTGGGAGGATGTTCAGCTCTCAGGTTTTCATAATCATTCAGCTTAACACACCGATTCCAGCACTGGCTTCATACAATGTCCTAAAAGTGCAGTAACATAAAGTAACTCAGTTGTTTATAGTGCTTGTATTATTTCTTCTTTTCACAGCAGCTTCAGGAAGAAAAGCCTGAAAGTGCTCTGAAGCTACTTGCAAATGCTTACTTTCCAAAATGCAGAGGGAATGTGGAAGAAGTCCTCTTTCAGTTGGCCTGCTGAAACCAATCAAAACATCTTAAAACTCCTAGTACCTAAAGTTGCCCAGTAACTGCTCAGTGCAGAGTTTTATCTAGTCTAACACTTAGCAGTATTGTTTCTTCAGGTATGTGTTTTGCATCAAAGCTCTCCAAAATCTTTTCAGTGCTGAACCCTCTGAAATGGGTATCGCGTCGTGTGTCCTTGTACGGGGTCTGGCTGTGATGGAGTTAACTTTCTTCATAGCTGCCGGTATGGTGCTGTGTTTTGGATTTGCAAACAGTGTTGACAACACACCGATGCCTTGCCTGCTGCAGAGCAGTGCTTGCATGGTGTCAAGGCCTTCTCAGTTTCCCATTTTGTGCACACACCCCCCAAATGAGTAGGCTGAGGTTGGGAGGGGACACAGCTGGGACAGCTGACCCCAACTGACCAAAGTGATATCCTGTGCCACAAAACATCATGCTCAACATAAAAATGGAGGCTTTTGTCTTTCCAAGGTAGCCATTCCTCCAAGACTGGCTGGGCGTCAGTGTGCTTGTGGTCTTCACCGATGATGGGCTTTGAACTGCAAGGAAACTTGAAGAGTTGAAACTGTAATCTTTTAATAAGGTCATGAATATAAATTATGCCATGCCAAATATCATGTATTCAGGTTCCTTTTTATGGATGAGGTATGTGCTTGTACTACTGCAAAAACCTCAATGATGCAATAACTTAAAGAATATAATTTTTGATAGTAAACAATTGTTCTTTGCTCTGTATTGATTGTAAGTCAGTACATTTCTGCCAAGTATCTTCTAGGGGTCTTAGTGTTTCGAATGAAAGAACCTAGGATACCAGCAGGCTTTACAATGGCTTCTAGAAGCCAAAGTACTGGAGTTACTGATATTTTTCCCTGCTCTGGAAGAATGTTGTGATGCTGATTGCTTAAATCTTACCTGATTGCTTGGATTTGCAAGACTGACTTTCAGGAGCTGTCTCCAAGCAGATAAAATTAGTTGGTCTTTTTTCCTTCATTTCAGTATATGTCTGTTGAGTGACCTTGAGTTCATATGAAAAGATAAGTATTTAACGTTTGTCCTTTGCTGTTTTAGCTGCTTTAAAGCAATGTCCTTTTCAAATGGACTTCAAACTTTCATCAACAAACTTTGGCCTAATTAACAAAGGAGTTCCAATAATCCACACTACTGTTCGTGTTTAATAATTAAAATTTATAGTGCTTAAATCACACCACAATCACAGGCTCTGATATAAATGTTGAGGAATCCGAAGAGTATAGGCTTTAGCAACTAATACTTATCAAAGGCATACCAAATTAATAAATACTTCTGAAACATTGAATTTATGTTGGTATGGTTGAGTATTGGATAGAGTATGACTTAGCTACTGTGCTACCTCTGCTTTCAGACCCTTAGCTGCTAGAAATCCAATCCAATGAGAATGTCTGCAAAGATACCTGCCTATTTACTTCTAAAACTGGTCAGTGAGAATTACGTACCAGTAATAACCTGACTCTCTTTGCCTAGGCTTGTCGTGAGTTGCATGTTACTTATGTCCCATTGCATCAGTTACATATTTTATTCCATTTGTCTGTAAATATTCAGGGTTTGGTTTTGGTTTGGTGGCTTTGTTCCCCTGGGTTGTAAGCAGGAATACAGATTTATTCACTGCTTTGATCAGAACATCAAGGATCTGGGTGAGCAAGACTGTAAGTCTTTGTTTCTTCTCCATTAGACTACTGTTTGAAAAGTTGTAGCCTGGATGTCAGCTTTCATCTAGACTGAATGCATGACAGCCCCTGGGTATAGGGTAGAGATGGGGAAAGAACTCCTTGAAGATGTTGACCAGCTGGGTTAGCTCAGTTGGTTAGAGTGTGGTGCTAATAACACCAAGGTCATGGGTTCAATCCCTGCTCACTGCAGGGGGGTTGGGCTAGATGATCTCTTAAGGTCTCTTCCAACCCAAAGCATTCTATGATGAAAGACTTCAGTACAAGTCATTGCTCCAGAAGTGTTAACCTTATCCCATGTGTTTTACTTCTCTCTTTTTTTTTTTTTTTTTTTTGTCCTGCTTTCAAACTCTGGAGTTCTTCCCATGCCATTGCAAAGCCAAGAACTCAAATAGTTCCCTACTTCTTGCTCTGTGTCAGGCAGCCGTACCTGTCAATTTTAAGCTTACTTTTAAGATGAGCCTTTGTTGCTGGGGAAAGCTCAGGTTCACTCTTCACTGGTATGGGTTTTTTTCCTTCAGTAGTGGAAAAATTTCCTCAGTGAGCAGGACTGGTGTGGTATAAATATGGAATATAAATCCCATTAAGCCATGGATCAGGCAACTCCACAGTACAGGACTGTGTTCATGCCTGCTGGAAAGCCTTGGCAGCATTGAGAGAGACCTCTGAGCCCTGTTCCGCTTACTGAGTCCCAAGAATTGCTCAGGGTTTCTTCTGATGTTCTGCCTCTGTTCTGGAGTCTGAAGTCACATGATGAGACAGGAAGAGAGTTTTCTCAGTTGTGAGGATGGACCTCTTTCACTCAGCTCCAGGAGAGATTAAACATCTGTCACCATAGAATACAATGTCTCCCTTTTGTCC